GAATCAAATGGGAAACATTATCTTCTGTAGATATGAAGGCAATGCTTGCAAATAAAACTGTTCAATAGTCTGAACAGATCCCAATGAAGATCGCTGAAAACTGAGGCATGCCAAAGGAAGTAAAGCAGACAGCTGCTGTCTCTCGCATAGGGCTTTTGGCTACAGTTCATCTTTACCCATTAGGTAGCTGACTAAAAATTAGAACAAGGTGCAAATTGCAAATTTAAAAAAATTACACTGAAACAGTTAAGCATAGCCACACAAAGTTCTGCTGGTCACTGCCGCGTTGATGGCGACTTATTAGCCGCATTAATTAGACGCATGTGCATCATTTCATATAGAGGTTACAGGAGACTACCCATTGTCTTTGATATATAACTATAGATTTTCCGTTTTGAAAAAGCCACTCTTAGCTGATAGCACCGAAAATTACACCAGCGTTATATCAGACGCTTGGCATCTCTCGCTTCCGTTTTTCGAAGGCAAAGTTTGCAAATAAGCAAATAGATGGATACTATAGCGCCTGACTTCCTATGTCCTATCAGCGCATTGTTGTTCATTTGTGCAGATCGAAAAGATGATACGCTAATGCTTTCATTGATTTATGAACTTGTGATCATTTGAATGCCACTCTGATGTTCTATTGACAACAGAGATAACAAATACCGTATGATTATTTTATCCATACTAATTTAGTATAAAAACTGAAATACTAAAGATGACTGATGACCATAGAGGGGTGCATCAAGCGTTGGTTGTTCACCAGTGGTGTTTGTCTTTGACCGAAACCTCCATTTTTCTGAATCAGTTGGACTGAAAGGTGGGAGTCATCTGCAGTGGTTGACGAGGGTTTAGCACCTCTAATGAACTGCAAATTATCACTCGCATTTATGAAGGGTTCACAATCAAGAAAAGTGTGATCAGTTCGATTCAGTGTAATTCAGAAGACCCTAACAAATTGCCCTGAGTAAAGTGCATGAACAACAGGAGATCAATGTAGGGAACATAATAGGAATATTTGACGCGATAATAGGCAAAATTACACACGAGATATGAGCTGTCGAAAATTCGACAGAAACTTACGTTCGGGATTGAATGAGAATC